GTCCAGGTCTTACTGACTGGTGCCTGCTGACTGTCTTCCACAGGGCTCGTTCATCCATCAAGGACTGCTTCAATAACCCGTGGCTTCAGGACGCCTACCTGATGCGTCTTCGCAGGCAGACGCTGACTTTTACAACCACCCGCCTCAAGGAGTTTTTAGCCGAACAGCAGCGAAGACGGGAACAGGCGGCTACCAAGCACAAAGTTCTTCTGCGGTCCTACAAGAGCTCGACACCAAACCCCACCAGCCCCACCAGCCCCGCTGCACCACATGTGCCAGCCTCACCCAGCGCACCAGTCACCCAGTGAAAAAAAAAAAAAAAACAGGCTTCCAAACATCAAGGAACTATGGGAGGGGGTGAGGTCACAGGGTGAGGAAGACACTGTGGGGCCACAAGGTGGAGCTGAATCCCTCTCAGGTCTGAGGTGGTGAACTTCATCAGAGGAGGAACAGACTGAGGAGAACCTCCTTCACGTGAAGGGTTTTATTTCTAAAGAAGGATTGATTCAGACGGAGATTTTTTTTTTTAATATAGTGAGAACGTTGTTCTTTCAGTTAGTACCTCAAGGTTTGTCTTTGTGCATTCGTGGCTTACACTGAGGGTAGGGGGCGCAGCAGTGTAGTGACCCCGCGGTCACCTCTAGACCTTGTGGATGTTTTGACGTTGTTGTTGCTGTGGTGAGATTTCTACAGGGTTTGACAAACAAGCACAGCTCCATTTGGGAGCTCGATTCCATAGCAACACCTCAACTCCTTCATGTTCAGATTTATTGATTAGACACCTCTGAAAACCCACGTCATGTCCTGAATTTAAAAAAAAAAAAAAATCTGAATTGTTTATTGTCGGTTTTATCTTAAACTTCTTCCTTAAATACAGCAGTGTAATTTGTGCCAAAAAGGTTTTTGTTTTTTTTTTGTTTTTTTTTACAAGGGGGAGGATGAAGGGACTCTGACTCAGCACAGCCTCCCTAACGTTAATGTCCGCTCTGATCCTCTCAACACTGATTATAACGGAGTCTCCTCACCACTGATAAGCTAACATTTACCTTATTGGATTCTTAATCATCTTCCACTCAGCAGCTCGGTGTCAAGGAAACCGTGTGATAATCCCTGCAGGTCTGTACGTCACTGAGGTTGATGAAGGAGGAGGAGGAGGAGGAGGAGGATGAAGATGAACTCAAGTCTCACCACTAACACTCTTCACTGCTTCATCCTCTGGTTCATCATCAACCAGACTGGTTTAAAAATGGTTTGAATTATTTTAGACATTGTTTGATTTAAAATGTGAGACAGTTTCAGTCCTGACGCTGTCTGTCCTCAGTCGTTCAGACTGTTGTGTCAGTCGTAGACTGACTGACTGTCCTGATCTCTGACACACAACGGGTCCACTGACCTGAGCCACGATGAGTGAAAGAACAAAAAAAAACAAACTTTAATCTTGATTATTTTACAAATTAATGATCATAGTTAACATTAATTATTGACAGCCCTAAAATACATGTGTGTAAATGCTGTGGCTTGATGTTTTTAAATCATTACAACAGAGACAAATCAAAAGAGTTTTCTGACTGGATTGGTCTGGTTTTTATATAAAATACTATTTTCACCATTTATAAAATATATACAGTATATATATATATGTGGAGTATTAAAGCCTCCTGCTACAGGATGGAGGGTGGGATCTGGTCATTTTGCACAATTTACCTTTGGTAGTATATGAAAGAGTCACGCTTTGGAAATTTATTATTTTACTTCTCTGAAATTTTAATGAAATTTTTCTGCTCAACGACTCTTTCCTGTTAGAGAAAAACTCATTTTTTTTCTGCCCAGAGTTTGAGACGCTGTCGTCGGGTGAACTTGACTCGGTGACAGACGAGGACGTTTCTGTAGCTCGTTTGGAAGGAATTGACTTCTTTGTGTGGCTGCGCTGTACATGAGATCATATTTATTTGTGATATTTAAATGACAGACTTTACTGTTATCTTTATCTATATATTCTTATGCTGTTGTTGGACAAATACTTTCTTCTGCAGCTTTTTGTATCCTCGGCTCAGTGAAGAAGTCAACGTCAAAAGTGATTTTTTTTTTTTAAACTGGATATTAAAAAAAAAATTAAAAAAAAGATGCAAGACCAGCATGAGAATGTAATGTTGCATTAAATCCCAAATGTTGGTGCGATATAATGATGCTGGGTTAAGTAGTCTGTGAAACAGAGAGCGCCCTCTGCCTGTGAGCAGACAAAAGGGATTCTGGGTAGACTTGTCCAAAAGCTTGGGTATTGTATTTAAAATCCTATGCTGTATTTTGTGGAATGCATTGCGGTGCCACTTGATGGATATTAGTTTTGGTAAATTAGTTTTCATTTGGATTCCCTGGATGTGACTGTTTTTGTGTGTGTGTGTTTCACATGTTGTGCATCGAGTGACTGTGTCTGTTACAGCTTCTGCTTCCACTTCTGTGAGCCTGGCATGGAAAAGGCATGACAACAGTGAAGGCTGTGAGAAATAAAGACGACATGACAAGGGTACGAAAACCAATGGGTGATTTGTATGATGTGAGAAACGAACGGTTGAATAAACGGACGGTCCTTCGCCCCCTGGATGACCCCGACCACCGTCACTCAGCAGCTTTGTTTTCAGTAGGGATGACTCTCATTTCTTTGTACTCCCTCCCCAATTTAAATAACTACCCATAATATTATTACCCACCCCTGGGGTTCTCCGGAGTATTTGATTTTAGCCCTATATAAGGAGGTGAGGATGTGTGGGTAACATTTGTTAGGCTAGGTCACATATGAGTAGTTTCTTGCGTCCAAACAAGGCAAAGGAACATCTGAGTGGCTGCTCCTTCATCTTCCCCTCCCCCCACCCCCCGCCTCCCCCCAGTGATCCACATATAAAGCTGGAAGCCTGTCGCGTTTGTCCGACTCTGCGGTGGATCAGAACGTTGGTGGAGCTCCAAGAGGAACTACAAGGTAAGACACGAGGAAACGGTGGTTTCACAGTGACCTCGGTGACTTAGGCTACAACACAGTCTCTCTTGGTACTTGACCGTTAACCAGTCATGATTGCTGCAGATGTCCAAAGCGAAGGCTGCACCCCCTTCTGGGTGCACACTGAACATCAACGACCCTCAGGTCCAGGAAGCCGCGATCAGAATCCAAGCTTCGTATCGAGGACACAGGTAAAAAAAAAAAAAGTCAGTGGTCCTAATAATTAATTAAACATCAGCTTCAGCCAATGATGGGAGTTTTTGCGAGTTCTTATGTCCTTTGGCTCAAATACCTTCTTTGTTTTTTCAACTACTATTTTTCATTTTCTGTGTCCTACGTAGGTCACGTAAAGAGTTGCGTGAGTCAGTTTGGTTCTACTAACTATTTAAACCTCAGCTTCAGCCAATGATGGGCGTTTTGGCAAGTTCTTACGTCCTTTGGCTCAAATACCTCCTTTAGTTTTTACAACCACTATTTTTCATTTTCTGTGTCCTACGTAGGTCACGTAAAGAGTTGCGTGAGAAGGGTCCTCCAAAGATCCTGCAGGAGCTCAAAGATGTGGTCCTCGTTGAGGGCAGCGCCGCAAAGCTGGAGTGCAGAGTTAGCGCTTTCCCAGATCCGTTCATCATCTGGTACAAAGACGGTAAAGAACTCAAAGACGGGCCAAAGTACCGCTACATGTTTGAAGACCCAGATTTTGTGGCTCTTGTGGTTCGAGATGGAGTTCTGGCTGACCTGGGAAAATATACGGTGACCATCAAGAACCCTTTTGGACAGACGTCGGGATCTGCGTGTATTCTGGTGGAGGGTGAGTATTACAGTACACACTAAATGTGATTTATTTTCAGTTTAGAATTTATTTGTTCATTTGTATTTGGGGTTAGCCTAAAAAAGATTTTTATTTAGGTTAACCCTTTTGTAGATCACGTTAAATTCAACCAATCAATAATTATTAGCATCTTGTCTTCCTAGTACCGGCTAAAGTTTCCAAAGGACCGGACAATGTCAGGGGTAAAAGAGGGACAACAATTGTGCTAAAGGCCGAGATTAGTGGAGAACCTCCGCCAGATGTTGCTTGGCTCAAAGACGGAGACGACATAGATGAAGACGAGCGGTGAGTACATGGACTTAACAATCATATAAAAAAAAAAATTATTCTCTTATTCTCTTACCATTTTGTATGTTTCTGTGGAATTGTCTTTCAGTGTTTTCTTCGATGTTGGCGACACCAACACGCTACTCACCATCAAAAATGCGAAGCTGTCTGACGCCGGGAAGTATGAAGTGTTTGTGGAGAACAACCTCGGTACAGACCAGTCCTTTGCCAGAGTGGATGTTCTCTGATCTGTGTCCTCCTCACAGTTCAATTCAATGAACAACACGCAGTAGAAGAAGTTCCAGACTGTACATAACTTGAAATAAACTCTTTTTTTTCTCACATTTCAAGTTTTTGTTTGTTTGGCAGCAGATACTGGACACAGCATTTAAATAATAATAATAATAATAATAACTCGTATTAGTTTATTAAATCATTTACTTAAAACAATAATAGCTCCACTTGTATTTGATATGAACGTGTTGCTATTATTTGTGTTTGAAACGTTTAGTTTTTCTGATAAAGAAGATAAAGCCGTGAATGTGTCAGGGTTTAACAGTACCACGCCGCACCGAGGGAGGGCAGACGTGAGCTTAACAGCTGCTTTTGCTCCTGATCTTCTCAGGTACCAGCAGCTAATGGAAGTTGCTAAGTCCAATTACAGTAAGAGAGTTTGGGCGGGGGGTTTTTTTAGACAGCGCCGTTGTTTATGTTGTCTTTCCTGTCGGTGGCAGCGACATCGGACTACGATTGGATATCGCTCGTAGGTAAGTAAATAAATAAAGAAACCAATGCTTCAACGATTGTAGAAACGAAAACAAATACGGGTTGACGTTAAACACACTGGTTCGGTGGTGGAAATATTTGGCTTATATCTCTCGCGAGATCTGGCAACACTGTCGACCTATGAATTAACGCTATCAGAAAGTCAAGTTTAACGTAGCTGTTTATTTTCAAGATGTTTCAAACTAAAAGAAAAAAAAAACTTTTATATGAAAGTGACCCAGATTTTTTTTCTAGATTCTAGAACCTTCGGCGGAAGGATCGCTTTTCAAATAAAGGTAGGATCAAAAACGACATTTTAATCTTCGAAATACATAATAATATTAACTAATAAAATGTGTTTAAAAATTAATAAGGTTGAAAGCTAATGTTTTGATGCGTAAACTGCCATCTTGATTACAGTAAACATCACAGCCGGTTGATTGTTTGTTGTATAATTTGGAGTATTTTATCCTGATCTGAAATCCACAAATTTACCACAAAAACAAAACCACTTTGTTCCTTTAACGTATGGAAGACTCAACTTCATGCAGTTACCAGTCGTGGCCACAAGATGGTAGCTTTGCTTCGCTATAGCGGATATGCTAATATGGCAACTGTGAGTTGTTTTAAAATAAGTGGAGAATGATGACGCAATCACTGAGCAGTGAATTTTCATGTGACCTGGAGGGGGAAATACTTGAACGGAAGAGTGAAGAGATTTATTTTGAAATTCACACCAAGAGCCCAATAAAACAGGAAGTAACCAATGTTACATTTGAACATAGTGTCTTTAATGATGCGTCCCACATCTTTCTTCTTGTATTTGGTATAAGTGTCTTTAATGTCCCCACATCTTTCTTCTTGTATTTGGTATTTAATTCTTTCAGCAGCCGGGCCTTCGTGAACCCGCCCCACCGTCAGCTCCGCTAATGTGGATCAAGCTGCTCGATCCTAGCACGGTGTCAGGTGTCGGAGAGGGGGTCCGTCCTGGGAGGTGTCGTTCTTTCTTTCTAAATGTGGATATGAATAGAAGCAGCCAGTCCGCGTGCATGCCCAGTCCGACAGGGTCCAGAATAAGTTCTTTTCAACTGTGCGGTCTGAAATATGCTGATGTGTGAGGCCGAGGCCACGTGGGCTTCACACTGAGAAGAGCTGTAACCTCATTATCAGTGTCGGAGGTGCCTGGACTGTAAGGTGTGAGGAATGTCGCGGGACATTTATACGTTTATAGACCAGGCCTAACAAAAGCGTTCTAATTAGAGAGTTTGTTTACTAGAGACTTGTCTGAGACAAGTGTCCAGCAGGTCAATCAGACCAGAGCAGATCAACGGTGATGTGCAGTGTTTCTGGGGGAAAAAATGTGACTTTTTTTTACTTCTGTTATTGAAGAGAACAATTTCAGTTAATGATAGGATTTTACAGTTCTGACAAAGAGAGAATCAGTGGATTTGGAGCTCATTTTGTTTAAAAAAAAACTTGTGATAAACTTGTATCGTGAACAAAAGAATCGTCAGTCAAACTGTATCACCAAACAAACGTGTTTTTGAAATGTTTAACACAGCACAAAATGTGCTGCGTTGTCAAAGATCTGACCTCGTGTCCTGTGTTCTTGTTGCATAAACCAACTGCAGTGTGTTTTAAATATGGTTGCAGGGGTCAGAGGTCAGTGTGTGACCCTGAAATACTAGTAGAGCGTAGGAGTCCAAAGTAGGCTGACCTCCACATGTAGCACAGCTCTGCTCAGTGTCAACCTGTTTCTGCTCCACCAGGTCATGTCAGATTGTTTTTTTCATTCACAGACATTTCATTATTTGCAACATAAACAAATGTGTTCGACATTCTGCCCCCGAGCTGCTGTTGAAGAGCAGTGCAGATGTAAGATCTCGGTGTTTGAGCAGTGAGTGGTCTACACGGTGTTTATGGTTTTAACTATTCTTTTGAACTCATGTCACATCCAGTGTTATTTTTAGCCTCACTTGCTGTATTGGCAACTAGGTCAGTCAGGACAACACGAATTTGCATCCTAAAATATCTCCTGTGCTAAGATGGATGGCAGTGAAATTTGGTACGCTGCACATTTATGTCCCACCAGTCAGGCAGAAAAACCTAGTGGATTTGTCCAGCACTTGTGTTTCAGACCAGACCAGGTTGAAGAACGGGTTTCTCTCTTTCTAAAAGAGAAAAAAAATTAAATTAAAAATGATTTGCCCGTCATTTGGATTAGTCACAGATGAAAACAGATGTGAAAAACACTGACCTCTACCTGCAGTTGTTGGTCTTTATGTTCTAGCAATGTTAAGGAAAAAAAACTCATTTGGTCACATTTAGGAATGTTAATGTATCCTGATTAATCATGATTATATTAAGGAAAAAAAACGTTTTATTTTGGTCACATTTAGGAATATTAATGTATCCTGATTAATCATGATTATTTAATCCAGTTTTGTTTTGCAGCCTAAGTGCATTACAAGTTCATTTAATTTAATGTCAAATACTTTTGTGAATATTTTTTCTCTTAAGCAGGACCAAAAAAGCAAAAACTGGATTGTTGGTCGTTCCCCTCGAGATGCACATTTTTATCGTCTGACCTCATGATTTGTCTGGATGTTTCTGTCCAAACCTGTTCACGTATCTAGCCAACGTCTCGGTGAATGTATAGCAGCCGTCGGACTGAGGTGCTGTTGTCGTGAGGATCCAGTGTCAGTGGCCTCATTTAGATTTCCGTCCCCTGCGTTAATGTAGCTCGTGCGGCGTAAACACATCGATGATGTTTATGTGACACAACAGTGTTTTGTTTGTGGCCCAGTATGTGGCACATGTTTACACGAAGTCTGATCGTCAACTACTGTCGGCAGCTGCTCTCACCCACTATTTTCGCACACTCTGATGTGTAACGTTAGAGAAGCCAATCCCCACGACGGCTAACGTCTTTTAACACTTCACGTTCCACCTGTCCAATTACTGATGCACGTGTCTGAACGGAAACCTGTCCTGGCACTAATGACCATTCCCTAATGGCCACGTACTATTTACGCTCTACATACGTAGATGGTGTAGATGCAGTAATGAGCCGAGCTCTAAAACAAGGTCAGACAGGTGGAGAAATATTACAGGCTAATGCTGACATGTTAATTTATATACGAAGGCTTTGGTACTGTCTTAATTATACGTATATTTAACTCCTTCTTATCCTGCCACACACTGGACCATCACTCGTTTGGTACCACAGTCTGATTCGTTTCCATTATCTCTGTGGTTTACATCAGAATAAAGACAGACTCAGTCTTTGTTAATAAGAAAATAAGAACCGACTTTGATGGTGACGTTTTATTTTTTTCTGAGGTTGGTACTTATTTATTGATCAATGACAAGGAACATGCAGTACTACTGCAGTAGGGTGGCAGTGATTAGTGATGATCCCTTAACTGTCGCTACAGTCTGAGCAGCATGCTAACACCTTAGCTGACAGCTCTGACTGGTCATCAGAGCTCGGCTAATTTGTCAAGTCGGGTGTTTTTTTCTTCCTTCGCAAATACCAGCTCTCATCAGTGGTGACAGAAGTATGTGGTTTGTCGACCACAGCCTGTGGTTGTCAGCAGACGTTCTTACACTGGTTTGACATGAACCACAAAAACTGGTACAAATAAAGTAGTCGATACAAACGTTCTTCCATTATACCTTAATATATTATCATCATTACTCTGATCACAAATATTACTCAGTCCTCGGTCCTGAGTATTTTCAGGCTACAATGTACATGTCCAGTCAGACTCGACCTCGGCCTCTGAAATAGCCCGGGTCAGGAACCACAACAGGACAGAAAGCAGCAGGAGTCGGAAGATCAGATGGACTAAACAGGCACCAGCGCCAATAAGGATGTCATGGTGTAAACTAGTCCGGGGCGGATATTACGTAATGTTATGTAATTTTAAGTTGTTGATAATGAAAATATAAAATAACAGTAGTGCAACAACTTAAACCGATAATTATGAAGAAAAACCTTAGAAGTTCGTACACAATAATAAATAAATATAATGGTGAAAAAGCAGTTTTGTCACGTGATAATGTTTAACTGATCAAATATATATTAAACTATATTATAAAACCTCTCAGTCTCTCAGCAGGTGCCTTACTGTAGGAGCATGACTCATAGTTTTTTTTATGTTTGTGTTTTTGTCCTTTTTTTGTGTCTGTGAATTTTACTTCCATCTTATGGGGTGATCAAAACAGGACTATAAAAAAAGAAAGTTAATCTGGCTTCATTTCTGCCCCGCGTTTCCCTGTGATATCGACTTTCTCCTGCCCTCCTTCTGTGTGGTCTTTGGAGCAGCATGTGGTCAGCACTGACGGACAGGACCGTGAGCCGCCAAACACATGTTTTCTTGGCTCTAAGCTGTTCCTGTTTACACGTCCGTAAAGTACTGCGTGTTCAGGCATCAATCGAGATGACCAGAAGGTGTACGTGAAAACAGAATCTCGAAGGAAATGCTGAAGAGGTTCATCTCTGACCGCTGGAACTACTTCATCACTCAATGTCCAAACACTGGAACCCTGGTGGTGCCAAAAGGGAAGACACGTGAAACTGCAGA